CGCCCGCTACGGGCGTTGCGGGCAGTGCTGGGCTGCTGGGCTGCCGGGCTGCGAGGCTGGGAGAGCACCTCTCCTCGCGGCTCGGCCCGTAGACCCGCTCGGGGAAACCTAAGGGCGCCTTGTAGTTAAGGAGCAGCTGGGGTGCGACGTTTAGGAAATGAAAATGTTTGCCCTCCCCCTCAGCACACCTTTTTTATAAATGAAAGTTTGCAACTATTGTATTTGCCTAAAGGGAGGCGCCTCTTTCTCTATAAGCAGTGAGCACGTGTCTCCGGGGGCACTAGCCCCCTCCTGAGTGTGTTCCCGGGCCATCACTGCAAAGGGAGCCCCAGCCTCCGGTGGCCCGGCTAAGCAGGCCTCCAGGGGGCCTTGGTTGGCGCTAGAAAGCTGGTGCCACTGAAAAAACCAGCTCCTCCAGCCCCAGAGTTTCCCTTCCCATCCTTGGGTCATCTCCCCCTCCTCATGAACAACTGTTTTTCTCTTTCCACAAATGAAACTTTCAAAGGAGTCTGCTACCCATAGAGCAGTCCTACAGTGGTCTCCACAAGTATTTCCTGCAACGTGTGCAGTGCCATACTCCCCAGTGCACCATTCCTGGCCCTTCTTTCCATACTTCACAATGCCTCCTGCCAATCACAGGAGTCTCCTCCCTCCTTCCCTCACCTTCCAGGCCCAGCCCTGGGACCCACCCAGGTTTCACTGTTGAATTAGAAAATAAAGTAAAATGTGATCCATCTGCATAATGGAATATTATTCAGCCATAAAAAGGAATGAGTGATTCATGCTACAACCCAGATGAACCTTGAAAACATGATGCTAAGTGAAAAAAGCCAGTCAGGAAAGACCACATATCGTATGGTTCCTTTTCCATGAAATGTCCAGAACAGGCCATTCCATAGAGACAGAAAGCAGATTAGTGATTGCCAGGGCCTGGGAGTGATGGGAATGAGGAGTGACTGCTAATGTGTAAGGGATTTCTTTTAGGGGTGATGGAAACATTCTGGATCTAGATGGAGGTAGTGGTTGCACAACACTGTGAATATACTAAATGCCACTGAGTTGTACACTTCAAAATAGTTTATATGGTAAGTTTTATGTTATGTATATTTTACCACAATAAAGGGGGAAAAAAAGTAACACAACATCATTGCTGTGGTATTTCTCCCAAAACTCCCAATCTAATCATGAGAAAACATCAGATGAACCTAAATTGAGAAATACTTCTTCCAAGTAATTGACCAGTACTCATCAAAAGTGTCAAGGTCATGAAAGACAAAGAAAGACTTAGGACCTGTCATAAACTGGAGAAAACCAAGAGATCCAACAACTAAATGGAACATGGGATCCTGATTTGGAAGCTGAAACAGAAAAGGACATTAGGAGAAACTAGAGTAAGGTCTGCAGTTTAGTTAACCGCATCACATTGTGCTGGTGTTAATTTCCTGGTTTTGATCATTGTACTGTGATTACAGACGATGTTAACATTAGGGGAAGTGTGGGTGTAAGGTATAGGGGAACTCTCTAGTATTTTTGCAACTTTAAGTCTGAAATCATTTCAAAATAAAATTCAAAAAAGTTAAAAATAAAAATAAACCTTTATTAAGCATCAACTATGTGCCAGGCACTCTCACGTATTCCATTTTTACAGATGAAGAAATTGAGATTCAGAAGAGAAGAATGCATTGCACAAGCCAGCAAATGAGATAATAATAGCAAACTTACATTGACTGAGTGTGTCCTAAGTGCCAGAAGCCACGGGACGCTTTCACTTGTGACCTATTTGGTCCTTACCACAACCCTCTGAGGTAGGTATTATTGTCCCTATTTTAGAGATGTGAAACTGGGGATTGAAGAGTGACATGCTCAAAGTCACACAAAAGGCTGAGACAGAGTTCGGATTCAGAACCAGATCGACTTCTGCGGCCACATCACTCTGAACGGCCCTGGCACCACCCTCCATAAGCCTCACGGTGGCCCCTCACGTACCCCACTGTCTCGTAAGTCGACTGACCCAGCTGGACAGGAAGCCCTTGGAGACAGCTCACGGTTTACATTTCCCCCATTTAACGCAGCCCTGCACTCTCCATTTCCTGGTTTCCTTCAACAATCTGAAAGATCGCTTGTATATGCTTTTCCTCCCCTCCCCAAATCGTTTCAGTCCACCCACGATTTGTGGTGACTTTGGCATTTGTAAATTAATTAGTCATGTCGGATTATTAGACACAGGTAATGATCATACCCACCTCCCTCCTTCTCTCTTGTATGTCTTCTGGAAGCAGTTGAGCTGCATTCCCTGCTGTTGAAATCTGTAAACTGCCAGAGCCTCCTTGATCTCCAGGTTAGGGCATGAGTCATCCATGAACCCTGGGGCTTGGGGATGACGTGCCTGACACTGTGCGTTAGGCCCTGGGTGTACAATGATACCTCATCTCTGGCTTTAAGGGGCTTACAGTAGCTGGGGAAGATGCTGTGGGAAGGGGATAGGTTAAGAAAATGGAATCAATTAGGTTTGGTGACAGACTGCACATGAGGGAGTGTTCTACAAAGGAGGTGAACTACGTTCCCATAATGCCAGGACCTGGAGGGGAGTGGCTGAAGGATCCTGGGTCCCTTCTCTTCAACCCCCAGAAAGGATAAAGGTGCCTAATACCCAGCAGATATGGGACAGATGCAACGGCTTTCTCCAGCCATCCAACCCAGGCTGCTGCCAGATCTGCAGGGTTTTCTCTCCATCTGTGATGTGCACAGAACTTCCACCGGAACACAGCATGAATCAGAATGTGTCCATACAAACTCTACAAAAGCTTTGGAAAGCCTTGCCGACCTCATCATCTCATCCTCATCCTCCCTCACACACATGTTCACCTGATTGGCGAGGGCCTCGGCTCCAAGCTCTCAGAAACCGTAAGAGATGACAACCATGACTGGCTTCTAGATAAGTAGCACACTGATGGCGCTTTGGCTGTTCTCATCATACCGGGCCCTGAGCTCTCAGCAGTACCCGCATTATTTGGGGTTGTCAGATGGGCAACCATCTTGGAGAACCACCCACTGGAAGATGGGATTCCCCTCACTTATCCGAGCGTGTGTCCCAAGCTGCAATTACAAGCTTTGAGTCCTTTTTCCTTTCAACTAATGAGGGTGAGTTTGTAGGAATCCACCCATATATTTTTTTCACCATTGACTTCCTCCATCCCAGTGGCTCATCACAAGTCTCAGTCAGCTGCCTTCACATTGGCAGAGGATCAGGTATCCAAGCAAAGCGAAAGAAAACTGATTAGAGAAGATCAACAAAATCCCTTGCAGGCTTCTCTATAATCCAGGAGTCTTCAATCGGCCATACACATCGAGTCTAAATCGTGCCGTGTCTGGTGCATAGCCCAGTAACGCCCCATTGAATGAATGCATATGGGAAATTAAAGGAGATAAGCTGTGAAATAGTTAAGCTCTCAATTGCTTTTAATAAGCAGAATAAGTAACATTTTATATAATGTTTATGAGTTTATAGCTCTTTCTGCCTACATTCATAGTAGAGGCTCCGGCTTGAACCTAAAGCTAAAATATGTGCTAGGTATATTTATGACCCCACAGGGCCAGGGAGGACCTGTTCTGGAGGCAATCATATTTTGAAGTAAGGAGGAGCTAGTTGGTTGACCTAGCAAGAGCTTGGCTGAGAGAGAAGACTAGGGATTCTGAGTAAAGCAGGGTGTCTGTCACTCAGATTTGTCACCTGGCCCATCTCCTGCTGGACAGTTGCTCCCATCCCATCCTGTGTGTAACAGTGAGGAACAGCGGAGTAGGTGTAAGAAAACCTGTGTAAGAGCTGTGTAGTGGGTTAAGAGTGTTCCCCCCAAAATTCTTGTCCACCTGGAACCTCAGAATATGACCTTATTTGGAAATAGGGGCTTAGCAGATGTAATTAGTTAAGATGAGGTCATACTGGATCAGAGTGAGCCCTAAATCCAACGACCGATGTCTGTACAAGAAGAGGAGAGAACACGCAGAGACACAGAGAGAAGAACGCATGGGAAGACAGAGGCAGAGGAGTGATGTGGCCACAAGCCAAGCATTGCCAGGAGCCGCCAGAAGCTGGAAGAGGCAAGGAAGGATCCTCCCCTAGAGCCTTCGGAGGGAGCCCAGCCCTTCCTTGATTTCTGACACCTTGATTTCTGACTTCTGGCCTCCAGAAATGTGAAAGAATAAATTTCTGTTGTTTGAAGCCATCAAGTTTGTGGTCATTTGTT